AGTCCCTCCGCCTTCGCACGTGGCGCGGCGTCAGGGGCCGCTAGCCCGCAGCCCTCCGGCCTGGGTCTGAATCGCTTTTCCCTGGAGCAACGTTTTTCCGCGCGGGCGTGTACAAGTTCAGGGTTTTGTTTTGGTTTGTTTTGACCCCAGAGATTGAAGGAATCGCCAGCGTTATCTTTCGTGTTTTTGAATCATCCTCTGTGCGTCTCTGGTTTTTCGGTTGATAGTAGTTTCCCGGGTCTCGGGAAGTCTCCCTCTCCCCAGAGTCAGGAGCACCAGCCCAGGTCCACCCATCGCCGGGCCCTGACCGCGGGGGTGAGTTCCTTCAGGCTGGGGTTTGAGCCTCACGCAGTAGCCGTTGGAGACCAGTGCCTTGGTTATTGCTGTGTGTCCGGGTTTTAATTGGACAAATCCTGTTGACGTTTCCGTGCTGCATTTGCAGGTGAGACCTTACTTCCAAACCCGACTTGTTGGCAGAAAACCTGGAACACTTGAAAAACAAATACAGATTTCCAGGCTCATCCCCACTAAATCGGAAAGTCTGGGGCTGGGCCCTGAGTCTGTTAAGTCCCCAGGGGATTTTGCCGGGCCTGCTCAGCCGGAGTCCGGAGAAGGCGGGTTCAGAACTGCTACTGCGGGGGACACGAGGGTGAATAAGAGCCAGCCTTTGCTTTCTAAGAGCTTAGTTCTGAATGCAAGTGATTGCAGTGATAACTGGCAAAAGTTAAGGACCGTGGGAACTGCTGAGTGTTGCAGGACAGAGTGGGAAGGAAAGCGGTGCTGGAATTGGGCCTCTGCTAGTAAAGACGGGTAGACTTGTGATTGGCAGAGGTTCCAGGCAGGCAGCGATATGCGCAAAGGGGGAACATCTAGCCCTCCAGTCGGAGCAGACCAGTGTGGAGGAGCACTGCATCTTGGGGCACTGGAACGGGGGTGCTTCTGTCATTCACGTGGCCTGGATGCTGGCTTGTCACGTGGGAACAGCCTGGCCAGTCTCTGTCTGCCATTATTCCCTGTAATGGCACCATGCTTTTCCCCGGGGACCATTGTGCTGGTACAGAAGCCATTCGTTTTCTGAATTGTTCTAGTTGTGCATAAAAACTGTGGCTTTGTGTATGCAGTCATTTTTACTTTGTTGTTGGAGTATAACTTGTATCTAACTATGTTTGGGGCAGAGTTTAGATTCACAGATGTGCCTATAAGCTTTTCATTAAAAAATATATATATATAACTTTTTACCTGAAATCAATTTGGGCCTGCTTAGAGGAAGGCATCCTTGAGATGATACAACAACCAGACAACTTTTTAAAAAATGGGTTTTTTTTATTTTCAGTTACAGTTGACAATATTATATTAGTTTCCAGGTGTACAACATAGTGATCAGACATTTATGTAACTTGAAAATGATCCCCCCATAAGTTTATTGCCCATCTGGCACAATGCACAGCGTAGTTATTACAATATTATTGACTATACTAGAGGCCTGGTGCATGAAATTTGTGCACAGGTAGGGTCCCTAGGCCTGGCCGGGGCCTTCCTTCATTTCATGCCGCCCCCCTGGTGGTCAGCGCACGTCATAGCGAGCGATCGGACTTCTAGTCTCCAGGTCAAACTCCTGAGGGGACACTTTACATGTTAGCTTTTTATTTATATACGAGGGACCCAGTGCACAAATTTTTGCACCTTGAAAGGAACTGTGGGCCGCTAGGCTGCGGTGGGCACAGGGGCGGGTCTCGGCCCATCCTCTGCGCCCCCACCCGGCCCCTCCTGCTGTGGCCCCTGGTCCCGCTGGCACTGCTCCCACTGGCTGACAGTGCCGGCCCTGCTCATACCCGCTGATGGCACAGAGCAATTGGGGCTGGCACCAGCAGCGGCTGGGAACAGGGCCAGCGCCGTCAGCAGGTGCTAGCGCGGCTACTGCCCCAATCGCCCCTCAGGAGCAGGGGGAGGTGGAGAAGCCATCAGGGGTGATCAGGGCCGGCAGCAGGTGTGAGCGGGGCCGGCATTGGCAGTGGGTGCAAGCGGTGGCTGTGGCACTGGCAGCAGGTGCGAGAGGGGGCGACTGGGCGCCGGCAGCGGGTGCAAGCGGGGCTGGCACTGACAGTAGGTGCGAGCACCGGATGGGACTGTGGCATGTGGGAGCAAAGAATTTTCAAAAACCGCCAGAGGCTCACCCCAATGACAGGGACCAGCGCTCCACCTTGGTCTGGCATCCCCGCTCACCTGCTCCACCATCCCGCTGCTGCCAACAACCGCCATTTTCCGTGCGTGCCTCCTGGTGGTCAGAGTACATCATAGCGACCGGTTCGATTGTTCCTCTGTTGGTCTATTTGCATATTAAGGTTTTATATATAGATAGATATATAGATAGGTAGATTCCCTATGTTGTAGTTTACATCCTGGTGAAGATCCTAACAACTTTTTAAAATATGTTTTTATTGATTTTTTTAATGTATTTTTATTGATTTCAGAGAGGAAGGAAGGAGAGAAACATCAATGATGAGAGAGAATCATTGATCAGCTGCCTCCTGCATGCCCCCAACTGGGGATGGAGCTTGCACCCCGGACATGGGCATGTACCCTGACTGGAAATCGAATCGTGACCTCCTGGTTCATAGGCTGATGCTCAGCCACTGAACCATGTCGCTGGGCTGTTTTTATTGATTTGGGAGAGAGAGAAACATCAATGTTTGGGATAGAGCCTGCCTGGCCGTGTGCCCTGACTGGAAATCAAACTGGTGACCTTTTGGTGCATGAGACAATTGATGCTCAACCAGCGGAGCCACACTGGTTTACAAGTTGGTAGCCTGTGACCAGCTACAGTGGGGGAGGGCATCTCCAACTCTGGTTGAGGAGCCAGGGGGCTGCATGCATGGTGTTCAAAACCCCCCTTCCCTGGAATGGATTAGTGAAGTCTCCCTGCCTTCCAGAAGGGCACTGACATAGTCACAGGCCCTGCTTGGCTGTATGTATTTTTTAAAACAGCTTTATAAATAAAGAAGATGTGTATGTTTGTAGATGATGGGAAGCTGAGAGGGGTAAGTACTAAAAGTGAGAGACAGTATTGGGATCACAGTTCTCTTGACAGGCAGTTAGTTAAACCAACAAGGTGCCACACTTTGTTTCAGAAATTAAAAATGGAATAAGTGAAAAGAAAATAATGTTGGCATCATAAAGTGGATGGAAGGATGGGTTGAACTGCACCATCGTGACCCTCACACATGGTGTGTGGGATCACAAATTTCTGAGCTGTGCAGGAAACAAGGATTGTTCAGGACATGTGATCTGACTAGTTTCACATCCCAACTCTGTTCTTATTAACTGCTTTCTGTGGCTGTTCCTGCCACTGTCAGGTAGGAGAGCACTACCTATACAGGGCTTAGCGCAGGGTGCAGCACGTGCTCAGTAGAGGTGTGTAAGCTCTTTAACAGCTATTTAAAAGGAGAAAACGCACTCTTAACTGGATTTTGTGAAAACACTAAGTGTCCAATGGGAGGAAATATCACACTGTTCAGATACATCAAGTGTATTTTGTTCTATGATTTTTGTTTTAAACATCACACCTTTAAGCTTCTTAATTATTTATGGTTTGAAAAAAAAAATATAGAAAGAACACATGATAGGCATACCTTGGAGATACTGAAGTTTCAGATCCAGACCACTGTAATAAAGCATCTCGATAAAGTGAGTCAGTAATCTTTTTGCAGGTGGAGGGTCTTGCCTTCAGTTGGTAAAAAAAGGTAATACCTGTGAAGCCCAATGAAGGGGAGCACAGTGAAGCAAGGTGTGCTTATAAATTTTTTCAGATTTTGTGCTAAATTAGTATTTTTTTTGTCCTAGTATTTACGGATTTGATTGCTGAATCAGGTTTACGCACACACAGTTGAAACAGTACAGAGGTTAGGGGCACCAACCTCCCACACAATGGAAATTTCTGTAACTGCATATATGACTACAGCCTGCCCTCTGTGTGTATGGACTCCCAACTGCAGAGGTGACTCTTGACCTGTGCGGGTTAGTTAAAAATATCTGTGTGTAAGTGGACATGCACAGTTCAAACCTAAGTTGTGTGTATAGTTTACCAAAAGAGGAAGTATGTTTGTTGATATCAGACAGAAATAACTTCTCAGCTATATCATAGTTCTAGAGTGCTGTTTTTTTTGTTTTGTTTTGTTTTTTTAAATCCAGGGTGGGTTTTTATTTTATTTTATTTATTTTTTAAATATATTTTATTGATTTTTTACAGAGAGGAAGGGAGAGAGATAGAGAGTTAGAAACATCGATGAGAGAGAAACATCGACCAGCTGCCTCCTGCACATCTCCCACTGGGGATGTGCCCGCAACCCAGGTACACGCCCTTGACCGGAATCAAACCCGGGACCTTTCAGTCCGCAGGCCGACGCTCTATCCACTGAGCCAAACCGGTTTCGGCTAGAGTGCTGTTTTTTGATGTCTTTATTTTTTTGACTTGATGTCTTTTAAATTGACTGCTTTCCTGGGCTGGTGTTCTCAGCTGTTGAGCATTGACCCAGGAACCAAGAGATCACCAGTTTGATTCCTGATTAGGGCACATGCCTGGGTTGCAGGTTTGTGGATTTGATCCTTGGTAGGGGGCGTGCAGGAGGCAGCCGATTGATGATGTTTCTATATCCCTCTCCCTTTATCTCTCTCTCTAAAAATCAATAAAAACATTTTAAAAAATATTGACAGCTTATGTTTGATATTTCAAACAAGTTAAAGGTGTCCTGGTTTAAAGTTACTTTGGCAATAACTCAGTTTTAGTGTTATAGAGTAGTTCTTTCACTTAAGGTTATTACACCAGTACACTTTGCCAGCTGTCAAGGACTAAATACATATTTGCTTGGCAGGCCATTTTCAAAATATTTCTTTTAAAATTGGACATCTATATATAAAATAAATGTTAAAATATTAGAAATAACTTAGACTAATTGTAAGACTTCAGGGTTAAGCAAGAAAAAACTCTAGTCATAAAAATTAAAATGGGTTTAACTATGTAAAGATAAAAATTTCTGCAGGACAAAATACCACGACAATGCATATTACTGAAGTTTACTATCTCTAATAAGTGAATGGCTCATACAAATAGGAAAAAGGCAGATACCCATTAGAAAAATCATCAAAGGCTATATCCTGATAGGTCATGGAAGAAGAAATGGAAGTAGCCCACAAACAGGAGCCAGTCCTGTGCTCAGCTTCCTGAGTCATGGAGGAAAGGAGCAGATCACTGATGTACCATGTTTTTCACTCATCAGTTTTAAGAATTGGCAGCATAGTGGTGAGGATATCAAGGAATGGACATTTTCGTGAAGTATGTTGGGAGTGGAAGTTACCACAATATTTTTTGGAACAGCTTTTGGCACCTGTTAAATTTAAACTACTCAGACCTTAAGCATTCTAGCAGATGAAGTATCTATGTCTAAG